AAAAAAAAATATACATATATATATATATATATATATATATATATATATATATATAATGTTAAATTATTAAAATATTACTTTTTTCAGTATATTATATATTAAATATATATTAAAATATGTATGTATAGGAATGTATATAGAGAAAAATTTTTAATAAAAATGTTACTTTGTATTTAGTATATGTCATATGGTCTAAATATTGAAATTAAAAACCTAATTATACTTAATTAAAATAATACTTACCATTTTGTTCGTCTTATTAATTTTTGGAGTATCATTTGTTGTAATGATTCTATTCCTAAGTGCCCTTATTTCCAAATTAGGTTCTGGTTCAATATTTTCTGTATCAATAGTGGTCTCAGAAATATTGGATGTTTCAAAGTTAGTTTGCAGTGATGTTGTAGACAAATTATTTATAACTGAAACTTCCACGTCATTATTTATCGTATTTTTACGTCGAGATTGACATCTTAAACTTCTTCTAGGTGACTTAGTTTTTATATTGTCTTTTGGTGATATTTCTTTAAAAGATATTGCAGATATTATGTCGTTCAGTGGATCCACATTAGAATCGGAGATATTACAAACTGATAATTTGGATGTATTCTCTTTCTCTTTAAGTTGTTTTGGTACCTCAGATAGCAAGAATTCAAGATCTTGATTATTTGAGTTGTCAAAGTCTTCAGTTTCAAATTCTAATCTTTTCCCAGCATTAATGCACTCTGTAGGGCTTAAATCATCCAAATCGAGACTGTCGATTCTATTCATTGCAGCAGCTAAACTTCTTTTATTTCGTGTTTCTTCATCATCAGATACTTCAGTCAAGGCTATTTGATCATCAAAAATGACTTTATGTGTGGACTTTATGCGAATCTCTTTATTTATCACTTCTTCCGATTTCTTTAATATACTTTTGCCTGGTGTTTGATTGGAATTAATATAAGATATCGTGTCATCTAATTGAACTTCGGGTGTCTTACACATTTTACTTATTTTCATAACTGCCAATGGACTCTTTATCCTTTTAAATGTATCAGAAAATTGCACTTTTTCAAGCTTTGTCAAACTTCCTCTAAAGCTATTGCGTTTAGCCGGAGTCGATTTAAAACCATTATCTATTGATTTAGATTTCCTTGTATTACATCGAGGCGTCTTATTGGCATACTCTTTAAAGGCTATAGACTTTTTAATACTCGGTGAAGACATAAGATGATCTTTATTTGTACTTGTATTTTGCAGCAACGTATCTTCCACACTGGATGTTTCTGCCATCTTCTTTCGTCTGGCAGCTAAGATTAATGATCGTAATGAACTTGGCTTTGATGGTACAATTTGTTTTTTAGTAGTCATTTGTTTCTTCATTGAAGGTTTGATAATAATTAATTGCTCTTCCTCTTCCTGCCACTCTCTTTTGCGACGTTCTTCCAATTTTTTAAAACGAAAGTCGCAATCTTTAACTTCCATACATGTCATGTCCCAAAATCCTTGTAAATCTTTACATGTTACCAACATCTGTCCCATACCAGTTTCGCAATCCGATACCAGACGACGGAATCTATCAAACTTTTTATCTATTAATAAATTGGTCTGTCCCACTGCTTGGGTTATTTCATACATAGCATCTTCAGGAACATCCTTTTCAAGTCGGATATTTAACCATTTTGTACAAAGTTCTTTAAGTCTGTCTGTTTCTTTATTTAAAAGAAATTTGAAGTATTGAGCAGTGCGTTCCTCTTCTTCAACAGATATGTTTAGGTTTTTCATCACTGTGTCTTTGGTTGGAATTTCATTAGATGGTGAATGACCAATGCCAAGTCGTAACATTTGTTCCTTCCTAGCATTCTTTTTACCACGGCTTAGTGTGAGATATGGTGAAAAGGTAATGAGATCTTCGCTACAGTTTTCTTTTTCAGAAGAAGAAGATTTATCAGTTACAAAAGTCTTCTGTGTTGGAGTCTCCATATTGATATTGTTTGGTAAAGATTTTTCTCTCTCAAATGATTCTTGGATGTTGTGTTCACTAAGTGATGATTTTTTCTTTTTCAATTCAGACACAGCAGTGCTTGAATTACATGTTGATTCATTTAATTCTTGTTTATTTGATAACAATCTTGAATTTACAGAATTCTTGAGAGTTGTTGCAGTATCAGCATTACAATCAAGATTTTGGGTCTCTAATTTCTTTAATATATCTTCCTTATCATTTGTATCTTGTGTCTTGAGTTCTATTGGTTTATTTTGAAAGAAATCTCCTTTTTCTGATGGTGTTTGTTCTATTGCTACAGCACCAAATAAGGGTAACATTGATAGTCCAGATGGTGGTTTAAATTTGTGACTATTAGGAGCAAATGATTTAATCATCTTAATATCAGATATCTTCATAGTAGACCTGTTAATATCGAGAGGTTTTGTCAAGCTTACTGACACTGCATTCTTTGCGACTGTTGCTTTCTGGGCAGCAGCTTTAGTTGCTTTAGCAAGTAATCTCTTTTCTGTAGCTCTTGTTACTCGTTTTTTAGTGTCATTTGAATGTTTCATTTGATTGGATGATTTCACAGTTGTAACTGATATAGTATTACATTTAGTTACAGGAGAATAAAAGGAATGATGAACAATGCCAACTTTAAATGCAGGTTTTTTCTTAACATCTTCTAATCTTTTTTTCCTGTTACGTTCTTCTTTCCATCTTAATAATTTTTTTGCACGCTCATCTGTAATTGTGGGTATATTCTCCACTAAAAATAATACAAATATATCTTACTCTTAATCATTTAAAAAATTTGTAATACTAATTGAAATTACTAATATAAATTATATAATTAAGAACTTAATTAAAAATAGCAATGTAGGATTATAAAAAATCGAATTATTATTTCTACTTCAATTACCGACAAAACATGTACAACTAGATAATTAGAAATTATTTATAAACTTACCACATTGTGGACTAGTAGGCACTGATATATCCTGCAATTTACGATTTTTATCGAAATCCTGTATTCTGGTTTCCCTACGCGATTTTTCTCGCTTGTATGCACGTAAAAATCTACCGTGATCTGTATCGCCAAATCCCTGGCGTGGATTTTTATATTGTTGTTGGAGATGCGACATGCTGTGAATTGATTTCGACGAAGAATTCAACAGCAACGTTCCATGCACGTTATGACAACACAACTAAAGTCGTTATTCAAATTGGTGCTACAGCCGTTGAAGACAGTGTTGCTAACTGATAGCTAATTCGGTAGCTTGCATTGGCTGCGTTCAGATTCCTTACCCGGGTGCACTCTAATACAAGAAGTGCTATAGTATATGTGACATATACTATACTGTTTCTAGTAACAGAGTGCACCCGGGTAGGGAATCTGAACGCACCCATTAGTGCGCACTGGGGTGCGTTCAGATTCCCTAGGGTGCGTTCAGATTTCCTACCCGGGTGCATTCTAAGGCTGATATTTCATGTGTCGTACGACTTTTTGGATACGTTCATTGGTTGACGAACAGTGAACCTAGAAATACTCTATTCGCCAACCAATAAACGTATCCGAAAAGCTTGTCGTACGATACGTGAAATAGCACTCTAATGCAGGATTCACACCGCGTCCGTTGTCCGACAAACGACGTCCGATATCTAATAAAAGAACAGCTTTCTAATAGAGAATTCAATTCTCCATTGGAAAGCTGTTCTTTTATTGGATATCGACGTCGTATGTCGGACATCGGACGCTGTGTGAATTAGAGATGCCCGATTCTTAATCGATTCGATTCTTTCCCTAACAAATTTAGGAAAAAAGGGTTGTTCGTGCTGCTTGCATGTTTCATACTTTTCACTTTTAAAAAGAAATGGACGCCTAATCAGACGCTTGGAAGAAACAATCGAGTTGGTTGTCTCGTTTTTGCTTTTTCGAAACATTCCAATATACTTCTGTCTAGTTTTAAATACGAAAAGTGCGAAGAGTGCAAACAACACGAATAAGCCTATTTTTGGGGAAAGAATCGAATCGATTCAGAATCGGGCATCTCTAGTGTGAATCCTGCATTAGGCTAATATTACATGTGTCGTACGATAAGCTTTTCGGATACGTTTATTGATTAGCGAATGGAGTATTTCTAGGTTCTTTGTTCGTCAACTAATGAACGTATTTGAAAAGCTTGTCGTACGACACATGTAATATCAGCCTTAAATATAAGATCCGTCTATGGCCGGTATTCATAGTCCGATCTTATATTTAAGATATTTTAAGTACTGTCTTAAGATGTCATAAATCAATCACAGGGCCGTATTCGCATCTTAAAACATTATTTAAGATGGTCTTAAATATAAGATCCGACTATTATTCCCGTATAAGCCGGTATTCATAGTCGAATCTTATTTCAAGACCGTCTTAAGTAATGTTTTAAGATGCGAGTACAGCTCTGTGATTGGTTCATGACATTTTAAGACAGTACTTAAGATGATCTTAAGTATTTTATTGATTACAGAGCATCTGAAGATGAACTTAAGGAATCCTTAAATATAATGCTTGACTATGAATACGGGCATAAGAATACCTACTATTGATTTGTATGTACTTGACCGGAAAAAAACTCCGGTTGGAAAACTATTCTTTTAAATCGTTTGTATTTCGTATGAAGAGTTTTGAAGTGCAATTGAAAAGATTTGTGAGTCATTTTATTACTTGTAATTAATTGTTTTTTTTTGGACCATGTATTTAACCGGAAATAATGACCGGAGGTAAATTAAACAAAGGTTCGGTATCGTTTGTATTTCGTATGAAGAGTTATGAAGTATCATTAAAAAGGTTTGTGAGTCATCCAGATAATTTTAATTAAATCTTAAAAAATCATATATTTGGCCGAAATATCGATCTCAAGCGCTGCTATGAAAGTACCGTCAGGTACGATCGGTGTACTATCTAATATTTCAATACTCCTGGTTCTTTTTCGGGTAATTATGTACAACAATGGCTTCTGCACGCGGTAATGCTTGCCGCGCGGCGGAAGTCAGCGCGACAGCCAATCAATATGTTGTTTTTCCGTAAGAGCTAGAAGGTTATTACGGAAAGCAGCATATTGATTGGCTGAACTTCCGCCGCGCGGCAAGCATTACCGCGTCTTGTGTGCAGGAGCCATTACGGAAAAACAACAATTTAAACAAGTTACTGATCTTTTAATCACATGGCTGCGTTCCGAAATTCACTGTCAGTACTGAAATTCTATAATATACGTAACATAAACTATAGATTTTCAGTATTGGCAGTGCATTTCGGAACGCAGCCAATGTAACTGCAATATCGAACGACTAGCAGGGGATTGCGCCCCCCGCACCCCCCTCAAAACTAACTTAACCCAACCTATCGTCACATTAGACATTAATCATTGTTTATTAAAAAATTATTAAGAAAAAAATTGAAGTTCATTGCCAGTGCTGAAATTCTATAGTATACGTAACATGAACTATAGATTTTTAGTAATGGCAGTGAATTCCGGAACACAGTTTGAATATCAGATCATCAACATCATCATGAATTGGCCCCGGATATAATCCATCGCCACCTAGGATTTGAATATCAGATTGTTATACTGTTGGTCTGTTCTTTTTAGCTGCACTGCTGAACTAGTGCAATAAGTTAAAGTGAAACAAATATACTTTTTCTTACTCTAATTTATTGCACTAGTTTAGCAGTGAAGCTAGGAAGGACAGAGCAAATGGATGTCGAATGCGGTGCGAATTCTGCATAACAATAAGAATAAATCGAGAACGAGCGCTAGCGCTCACTGATACGCCTCTAGCCAAATATTGAAGGAAGGAAGGAAGGAAGGAAGGAAGGACGAGCGCTAGCGCGTCTTTACAAAGTCGGGTGGCGCGCGAAACTGCTTGGTGTGTGCCAAACAAACGTGAGCCACTCTTGTTTGGCGACACTGCCGCAAGTCACAAAATATGAGACGCGAGGAAAGCTAGTTGTGTTTAGAAGAAAAACGTAATTTCCTACGGCAAGATAGATTTCGTGAACATATCGTTTTACGTGTAATTTGTGATACGGTTGAAAATTGTTCGCACGTTTTCTCGTTCGAGGCAATTTCGGCAAATTCTGTTGATCGAGTGTATCGGACATATTCATTTCGGGTGTGAAAATTTTTGTAAGACTGAGAGGAAAATCGCGCGGCATCGTAAGTGAGACGAATCAAAGGGAAGAATTGCATAGGCGGGAAGACATGAACGGTAATCGGTAATTGTCGTGTGGAAAAGGGAAGAAAAAGGGTAAAAGATAAGACGTGACGAGATGGCCACGAATATTTCTACGATTTTTTCGAGAATGCTGAAGACATTGCGGGAAAACAGCAATAGTGTCAAAGAAAAGCGCGAAGCTTTAACCTATATTTCCAGGTAAAATATTAAATTGCCAAAAACGTTAAATCCCTTTAATTGCTCTCTTTATGTTACATTTATTTATAAGAAAACATGTATTAACATTATATTTTCCTATTATTACAGAATTTCTTTCTGTTATTGTAGAATTAACTTCTATTATCTGAGTTGTATACATATGTAAATACGGGACTAACAATCAACCGCAGAAAAATTTATAATTATAAAATAATGCTCTATTTTAGTGATACATTTCTATAAATTAAAAAAAAGTAAATTTGAAAAGTGGATTCTTAAAAATATATATCTATGATATAGATATTTAATATAAATGAATCTGTATTTTATAATATGCTATAACCAAGTTTGTTAATCTTTTTGTGTAATAAAATACCAATAATTATTTTGCAGTCAAGCTAAGAAATTAAGATCAAGTGGTATTATTAAAGAAGAACGATATAAGGAACTATGCAAATTGGTTATAGAAGCATTTACAAAAGAAGAAGGAAGTTTGCAGTACGAGGCATTAGGAGCACTCACTGCTATTGTGCAAGAATTTCAAGCACATTCCTTACATCTTTTTGAGTCAATGTTACAGACAGATAAAAGGACAAGGTTTGTTTGGTTATATTTATATATATATATAAATAAGAATCTTAAGAAGTCTTAAGAATTTATTTTGTTTACTCATACAAGGAATATATTGTGACAAATTTATATATTCTAGAGTTTGACATGTATTCTATTCTCATTTGATTCTAGATTGAAAATACTTAAACTATTGGAGGTAATGGAAGACAATGCTATTTCTGCAGCTGCCAATGATGGACAGGCTTTAAATTTTTTTAAGGATTGTTTGGCTAGTGTAGAGCCTACTTCAATGGAGTGGATAATATCAACAGCATGTATAGACAACTTGCAGATGTTAACTAAAGTTGAACATCATGTATTGTCGGATGAACAAAAATTAGAAGAGGATACAGTTACTTATTCACTTATTCTTTTGAGAAGATTGTATAGACTGGCTGCTGTAACATTTGATCAAAACATAGAAAGGGTATAAGCATATATAATTGTATTTTGAACCATTTTTTAAATTATGTTTTCAAGTCTAGAGTTTTCAAGAGTTGAAAACATCCTTGTTTTAGTTTGACACATTGTTGATGACTAAGATTGTAACATTGGCCTATATGGGACACAAACGTCAGCGTGGTTCTGCTCTAAAAGTTTTGCAGCAAGCTATTGCGTCTAATTCACCAAGTCGCATTCATAAAAATCACCCCGAATTGTGGGCTCAGTATAAATCAAATTTGCAATCTGCATATTGTAAACGTATGTTGCTTTTGGTAGAAGCTTGTGAAACAGATTGGAGCAATCAATGGAACATCACTATCCAGCTTCTTGGTACAGATCTTCATCGTGGTGCTAATCTTATAAATAATTTACTGAGTGTTGAAGAAAAGGCCTTCAAATCTACTGATGCCATTGTACGCAGGTAAAATTATAGTTTTCGATTTAAAATACTTTTTATTATCTACAATGAATTAATGACTTTTCTTAATTGTATTACAGACAAGCTTTCCTTTCGTGGAAATTGTTGATTGACAACTTTGCTTTAGACCATCAAGAACTTGCTACTGCCAGAAGAATAAAGTTACTTTGTATTCCATTAAATGCTAAGAACAGTAAAACGGAATTAATTGCGTTGACAAAGTTAGAAGTTTGGTGGCACTTAATTATCAAATTGCATAAAGATATCGCGCAATTTGTTAATCCCGTTATCACACAATTTCTAAACTTCTGTTTTGGACCACTTGGAGATACACCATTACTTTCTTCCAACTTTGATGTTGTTGCTTCTCCAGGCAAAAGATTTTTGAAGACAAAATTGGTTGCTGTAGATGCGTTGTATCAGTTGGTTGTTTCAAAGGAAGAAAAATCTCTAGTTTATGCTCCAATGTTAGAAGAAAGACTTCTACATCCTATATCTCATACAATCTTTCAAGAATGTTCTAAAAACATTACCTACAGTATAGGAGAGGCATTACTCATTCTTGGACAACTTGTTGATCAAGAAATGAGAAATCGTTATCAGTTTGCAAAAATATTATGGACAAGTTTGATCGCATATATTAGAGATATCAAACTTGAACAAAAGGTTATTAAAACTTAATTTTCATATTACTATGTTGTAAATACATATGCATATATGTAAATATATATATAATAGTTGTTAAGAATTTTATGTTACACGCGGAATTTTGCAGGACCATCTATATAGAGATGTGATACTACTTGTAATTGAATTGGGAAACCATTTTGATAAGCCCATGGTGAAAAATATAATTTTTAATGTAATTTTGCCAGATTTTATTCAAATCATTAAGACTACTGAGTTTCTTGATAATGTGTTACCAGAATTGGTATTGAAATTGTTATCACTTCCAGTACTTTGCGAAGTGCCAGAGTAAGTATACCTTGAATGACTTGAACTTGAATCATTCTACTTTATGTTAATTAAATATTTATTCATATCATAGGAATTTCAACTGTAAAGAGATTGAGTGCCTTCTTCAGAAGTGTATTAGCTCAGAGATTACATGTTCTCGGAGTATGCTTGGGTTTCTGCAGATAATAATGTCAAATCTAAAGTCAGCAAGTGATATACATAAAAATATGTATGTACAGAAAATCTTAAGTATAGTATATATATTCAAATATTTGACAATAAACAATGTGTTACAGGATATTTTATTTAGAATTGTGGGCTGTAATAGCGAAGATATCGACAAAATATATAACAAATTCTAAGAAGATCGATGAGGGTGATAAAAATGGACATAACTTTAAAACTGTGAAATCAATTTTGTCATTTCCATTTCAATATACAACTTTGGAAAATTCCCAACAGGTTTATATAATTTTACATAGTAAAAATATTTCCTCTTATCGTACATTTATTAAATATGACTATTGTCTTATGTATTAATAATCTTTTAGATGCAAGATGAAGCAAAAATATGGAAAACTTTGTATAAAGAATTTGAGATACAGGCAAGTTCGATAAGTACAGTGAAACCAAATGAGATTTTACTGGATATTGCAAGTATGATGAAGACTTATTTAAACATAAACAATTGTTCTTTTATTGTAATTTGTTTGGACGCCTTATCAAATACTATTGATTATGAGTACTTGTCGGGTATGTAGTCTCAATTTTGTGTATTATATTGGATATATCTATTATATATAATAACTGAATATCATATATTCCTTTGTAATTTATGTTTCAGCACAAAATGGTATTCCATCTATCATGCAATTAATAGTAGATGTAGCAACAATTGCTCTTAACAATCTACAAAGCTTTAACTGCGAAGTAGTTCTGAAAATATTGTCAGCTATGCTTATTACTATATATGGACACAATACACAAAGAATAGTTCCATATCTACATACTTGTAAATCAGTAATTGAACTTACCCTTAAATCGCAGTTGAAGACACTCTCTAAAGAAGTATGTTAATATTTTACAGAACATTTTCTTTGACTTGTTTATCTATAGTTTCCTTTATACTGGCAATATTATTTATAGGTTGTAAGCATTTGGGAAATTATAATTAGCATTTTTAAAGGACTCGACAAACAATTACATCGAGAGCTTTTCTCGTTGTATAAAGAAACATTTTTAATAGCCATGCATCATCCTAATTCAAACATACAATCTTTGACACGGTCTGTTTTTGAAATTAAAGATGGCTTAGACAATACTACTAAGTGTATGTTAGATGAAATGGAAACGGTAGAAAAATTGCCATCTCATTCGATATGTGATAGTGTTGTAAAGAAAAAAGAAGAAACAGGAAAAGCAAAAGAAATACGCATAATTGGCAGTTTCTTAAATAGAAAACCGGTTAATACGAAGTCAGTATCTAATAAGCCACTAGAAAGGGATGAAAAGAAAACGCTTATACTACCTGAATCTGATTCGCAAGTAAATAATGTTTATTATATATTATATGTTACACATTTCTTACAATTTTTTATACAACATTCTCACATGCTTATGTTTTCAGGATTATGTATATATAAAAACAGATTTGAAATTTGATATTAATCGTTTGACGGAGCATCAAAAAGAGACTTTAAAGAAGAAAAGGGAAGATATACCAGCATTATACAATGATCTGTCTCAATCGTCCTCGCAAAACTCGCAAAATTTGCAAGAATGGTTCGATATGAAGACTAAACATATTAACGAATCGGATAAAGCCAATAATAAGAAGAACGACTTTATAATACAGAAGCCCATTAATAGTGATGCTAACAAGGAAAATAAGATTACCGTTATACAAAGTGAACTTAATGTAATGGACAAAATGATTAGTATTAACAATAGTAGCAGATTAGATGGAAATGTCGAAGATAACATCGTTGATACAAAGCAAAAGAAAGACTCGACAAAAGAAGCTGAAAGGAAAGATTCTGGTTCACACGATGAAAATACACCTAAACAAATCGACTTGTCTTCACCATTGTTCACTGGATTTACACTAGAAAGAGACGAAGACACGAATGTCGCATATTCAACAGTATCTGTCGCGAAAAAATTAAATTTTGAATCTAAGGAAGAATTTCCTGAAGATAAAACACACGAACGGCAATCGTCACCGTCAATGTTCGATAGTGCTAAACGACGACATCGTAATGACAAAATCGGCTCGACAAGATCGAATTTGACGTTAAAAAATGACGAAGCTGATGAAAGCCAAAAGGATTCGAATATAACAAATATTACACAAAAAACATCGAGAACAAAACATAATTTAGCAAAACCTGGTACTAGCGGTTCTGAGAAGCCGTGCGATGATATTAATATTAAGGAAAATTCTAATGAAAATAAGAAAGGCATTAAACGCAAGTATGTGTCGGATACTGAATCAGATGGAGTTTTGCAGCAACGTCGCAAGCGAAAAATGATTCCATTTTCTAAAGACGTTAATGACGATAAAGATAAGTCACAAGATAGTGACAACATATCGTTAGATACAATAGACATGGATGGATTGAGTCAACGTATGAAAAATGAAATGTCTCGTTTAAAAATTGACATGGTATTTGATTGTTCTGCAGTAAATCGTCGTCGAGCCAAACAATCAGATGAAGGAGATAAAGAAACAACAACAACGTTAAAAAAAACTTGGACACTTGATGAGAAAAACTTGAAAATAAAATTCTTGGAAGCAAGATCCGCAGAAACTTATAAGAAATCTGTACAAACGACGGGGAAGAATACAAAGGATACAAAGGATGGAAAGGAAGGGAATGACATAAATCAACCTAAGAGACGAGGTAGGAGAAGTACTAAACAAGAATCTGATAAGAATGATTCTGACGTAATTAAAGAAGCTAAAAAATCCAATGATACTATTGATAAAGTACTTTCATTGAAGAACTCGTCGGACATAGATATAACACGTGTGGTTCCAACGACTAGCCAAGTAGTTACCGATGTTACACAAGATGTTACTAATAAAATACAGTATGAAAAACTTGATAAAGATGATTCCAAATCTATTTCCAACAAAAACGAAGAATCAATTTTCTCCAAGGTTCGTGAATTGATCGAGACGAGTCAAGATGAAATAGAAGATGTTATTGAAAGTTCACAAATTCCTAACGTCAGTATAAAATTAGATAAGAAATATAGTGAGAAACAGTGTTTCATAAAAATTAATAAAATAATGAATATTCATCCTGCTAAAACTTGCGATGAGATTATTGAGAAAAATTATGTACCTGAATCTATCTCTGTAGATTGTGGTGATAATGATGTGCCTGACACGTGTGAGCAACCAAATGAAGCTAATACCTATAATAATAAGGATACAAGCGACATAGGAAACAAAGATAGTATGAGTAAAGACATGATTCATGAAACTGACAATTCCAACATGAAAGTTATAGTTGCGGAAGGTCAGAAGGCAGTCGATAGTTCGCCGTCAATTAAGTCTACAAATGTAATAAGTTTTTCCTCACCAAAAAGCAGTGGCAAGGTATATTCCAAGATTAAATCCTTCACGGCTCATGGACGCGCTGCTCACATGTTAGGCTTAGTCACGAAGCAATCGCGAATCGAAGTTGATAATCCAACTGTCGAGGATGACTCATCGATCAAGAAATCAAGGATCAAAGATGTGGAAACTGAGATGTTAACGAGTAAAAAGGTCTCCATGGTTAAAGAGATAGATAAAATAGGTGGGCCTTCTGGCAGTCGGCAAGAAAAGATTTTTAATAACATGAGATCGAGTGACTATTGCACTTCTCCGTCGACGCACATGTTTACTAACTTGAAGAACGATGGCGAAAAATTATCGTCTAAAGTAGACAAAAGTACATCAGATTCTGTATCGATTGATAGTTCGGTCGATAAAGAAAACGAAGAGAATACGTCGCTTTTGTGTGAAAAGAACGACCTACCAATATTGGAGTGGTCAAGCGCCAATCCACCTTCATTAACCGCATCACCGAGTGCTAGCATTCTGAAACGTCAACGATCGACTATATCAGAACCAGATCCAGATTCTATAACTCCTAATAAGGTAATTTATTCGTTCCTAATAAGGTACTTTAGATTGCTTATCTTTACCATATTGTTACATATATTACATATGTTACATGTATATATGGTACATGTAGAATACAAATAATTTTCAAATAACGATTATTTTCTGACTAAAGATATTTGTTTTTCTTTGTAGAGAAAACGAGTGAGTTTTGCGGATCCACCAGTATCAAGAGAAATGGGCTATGAAATCTCTACGACGGAATCTCCGAATAAATCCACTAAATTTTCTACAGCACGCAGTCTCACGCTGAAGAAAGACTCTCCGCTTAAATCTAAACAATTTAAACTTAAGACCGTATTAACTGATGCGGAAAAATCATCAACTGAAAATAATACTCCGAGTGAAAGTAGCGCTGAAGTTGCTTTGCGAGCTGAGAAAGCGAACGAGTCGCTAATAAAAATGTCTGAAAATACAGATTCTGCAAGTACTGATGAACAAACATTTGGCAATTCTTTGAAAAAGAACAATGTCGTTGAATTGGATGTCGACGAGGAGGAAGTTGAGCAGGAAGTTGAAATAACTGTAGATGTATTATCTATTTGTGTCCCAGAAACTCTAAATCAAGATCAACAGATTTTACCTGAGCAAAGTACTGTGCCAATGAACTGCATTGAAACAGAAGATACTGAAACACAGCAAGATATCTTTGATGGATCGGACACGAAGAATAACAGCTCAGTGATCCAGACAAGTAACGACGATGCAAACACGTCCAATCGAGACAATTCGGTAGATTCTATTAAATTAAATGTAACCAATGATTCTGTGATAGATGCTTTACCTACCAAAGAGGATAATCTGGATGATACTGTGGATATCCAGAATGTAATCGGATTGGATTCTACTGTGAACACGGACGAAATATTCTGCGGAAAATTGTTACGCAGTAGCACATCCGCGAACGCGAAAAACGTGGCAGAACAAGATACTTTGCCAGTGACGGATTCCATATTCGCGAGTTTGCCATCGAGTCAGGACAGCCGATGCGAGAATCAAAACAATGTGGAACTTGACCCTGGATTTCTGGATTCCATTCAGCCTATCTATCCGACATTGTCATCATGTCGAGAACCTCTTGATGTTATTGTTGAACAATTGATTACTCCTCTTTGGAAGCATAATTTACAGTCGTATTTTACGGATAGAAATCTGTTCACAGTTGGTGATCTCGCTCAGTTATCGGAGCGCGAAATTAACAGAATGCCTCTGAAGAATAAACCAAAGATTGAATTTGTCAGGAAAGTATTACGATCTTATGAGAGCACGTATGGGGTTGTATGTCATAAAGAGGACGTTCCCACAGTTGCGTCTACGTCTGCACTTGTGTGTACGTCACCTGCGAAATCGTTCAACAAACCGGAACAATTACTTACAACCACGACATCGGATCAAGCATATCGTTCGAAGTGTCTCTTTGTAGCCAACATTGTCGACGTAGCAGCTGTGCCACTCAACAATGAATCTTTAAGCTGTAGCACACCACTTGCGCGATCTGCTGAAAAGTTGCACAACAATTCGTCGACAGAGAAATCACTCACCGAACACTTGGATAGGACTAGCCCTATGAATAGCGATGTTTGTTCTGAAAACATTTCATCGGTATGCAGCAGTTCTGATTTGTCAGCGTTAGACGCTTCTGCAGTAAATAAAAAGCCAAACCCGAAAGTACTAATTGTTACTCACAGCTCACCTGGGAAATCCACCAACTATGGTACTTTAACAATGCTACCAATTGCGACCTCGTCGATCTCCAAAAATCTGTACGTAACAATGTAACTTTTACATCCTTATTCGATAAGAATTAGCATAACTTTCAATGTCTAAAACTTTAATGTATATGTGACAGACTACTTTATAGATTACTTATACTTTTAAGATTTAAAGAAAGCAATATTTTCGTTTTTTTAGTGCAACAAAAACATCTTCTTCAAGTGACAATATAAATGTGTCATCAATTATATGTGACGAACCTCTCATCACTCATTCGTCCATTGGTGTTGGCACCGATCATACCTCAGAACCGGCAGTGCGTAAAACTACGAGGTCCGTTGAATCCCAAATGGATCTCGAGGATTTGCTGGATGAAATTGACGTGAATGTTGTATTGGAGAGCGCAGTTAGAAGATGTAATCCTGAAACTATCCTATCGCAGTATAAGGTAAACTTACTTCCCCTATTGATTCATTTGATCGTACCTATATTATCAGACGACACATTGAGACTGGAAATTGTTCCGTAGATGAAGATGAGACACTTGTCAGAGCAAGACCTAGTGAAGGAAACTGTCAGAATGCTTGGTTTGCAAAATAAACGCCAGGTTAATGATGCGTTGTTAAAAACGATTTGTCAGGCTTACGGCATCAACCATGTTTTGCTTAGACTGCCTGACTGTTTCAATTCGGAACAACATTTCTTCGAGAAAGTATTCAAAGCGTATCATAAGAAACTCAACCTCACTAAGTGTTTGGACGTTTTCGATCCTGTTCAGTTGAAAAACGCGATCTACCAAAATAGCACGTCGACTGAGCTCGTTGAAATGTTATCTGACAAACTGAAGCAAGAGGAACAAGAAGGTATCAGAAAACCTATACCAGAAGTATGGAGTTTAAACGCTATGTTAAAGAGATTACCTATGGATGTGATTATTAGCCATACTGTAGCGAATGAGGAGGTTATCCCGGCGTCAGTAGTTTTGGACATAGCCTTGCAGAATAATAGTTCGGAAGATATAGCGCGAGCGTTAAGTCAATCCCCTACCAGGGTGAAATGTGTCTTGGACCAACTTTGCTCGGCTCAGACTAGCGCTTCGCGTATCGAGAATGAAGATTTATCCAAAGAGTGCTTGCTTGACATTTTCAAGCACGTTTGTTCTAAGCTGACTACGCAAGAATTGCTGGACGTGTACCATGAAGCTATGACGAGCAAACTCAACGTAAAAACAGGATAATTAGATTCGCAAAAGACGAAAATCGCGTTAGCGGTTTTAAACTCAATATCACAGTTTCAATATGACTGATAGCATTGATGTATTTCATACTCAGAAACCGCTTTATTTGTCGTCATAATGCACATCATTTAACGTATTCACGAATTTCTCTCACATTGCGTAATTGATTCTCTGTTATCTATAACCTTATTTAATTGTTACCACTAAACTACTGAAATTTAGATTACATTGAGAGATTTTACTTTCAAATATTCATTAAATTAATTAGATGAGACATACTTATATATATATCCTCATTTGCAATAATCATAAAACATTTGTCATGTGAACGTTTTATATTGTATTAAGCAAAATAATTATTTTATAATTGCCTGCAGCATGATGTAGTACAACTTATGTATATATTTAAATATCGTGAAAAGTTCTCTCTACTATTTGGTTACAAATTTATATAAAGTATGATAAAGTGGATACACACAAAAAGGAAAAATTTAGTTGAAATTCAGTTTTTTCTTAAAATTGCAATTTAGAAATGTTGTGACTTTGATCCTAACGATTACGTAATGCTTATTTTTTGTACATCCAATATTAAAGCGGTATTAAAAACTTTTTGTGTGTGCAAGTTTATAACTGTTTGTTTGTTGGCCACATTTATTATGTGAATTTAGTAATGTTGCGCGACTAAGTTATGCATAGTGTATTTATACTACGTTGTTCCTGTACAAACATAGCGATTGCCTCTTTTATAAATCAGCATCTCATGAGATCAAATGATCATCAGTAATTATTTATTTCTTTAAACACAAATTTTTCTTTATGTGCTGAATCTGTTACCTTGTTGTGTATAACATCTTCCGAGGTTTAATATCATCGTTGTGTTGCATTAATCAAACTAATTCACGTTTGTCTAACGTTTTAGCATTAGATAGATTCCTAAAAAATTACGCGTTTAGCATGCGACTGCTGATTGAATAAATTGAATAAATTTTTATGTAAAAAGGTCTCAGTTCTATAAAATATAATCTTTCTTGAATCAATGTGTCGATACACTTACATATTTAAACATTTCAAGATACTAAACAACATAAGGAAATCATTTTTAAATGTAAGTCATATATCATTGTAAATATACATGTATGTATATCATTCAAATTGATGGATTATCAATATATTCACTAATTAGTATGTTCTTTTTATGTATAGTTGTTATTTAAAACATACCTATACGCGTTTATTAGCAACAATATCTTTTACGAATTTTGAACTAAGAGTTTATAGAACTCTTCAAATTTTAAAACTGGCTAATATTAAAAATGAGGAAGAAAGAATTAGAGTAGTGACATATAAGATATTTCGTAACTGATGAAATAATATAATTGAAAAGGAACTGATTAGAAAGTGAAGATTTACTTATTATAATGATTAATAACCATATGATTAAATTATTAATATGAAGAGCGATAATGAAAATCCTGTAGCTCTTCTGATTTTCTTTATCAGAAGCCATCGTAAACTACAGGAAATTTTAGATGTAAATATATGTCCTATAATAATAAAATGGTATTTTATAGAAATTAAGAGTAATTTAAAAGTTTCTCCTCTCAATTTAATGTCCTATTAATGTAATGTTCTATTAATGTTTGTAAGTCATTTATTTGCTTCGACGAATTGTTCTATCATTGTTTAATTACCGTGTAATTATTTGATTTACTGAACTTATTTGATGAATGTCACAGTCTATATGTAAAGTGGATTTATGTAGTTGCAATAAAATTCGGTAGCTTGCTTTATACATTGCTTTAAACAAAATGTAATTTTTTAAATTGCGCAACTTTTTTCTATCTGGATTGAGTTGAAGAAGATGATTGAAGGTGAACACACTATTCGTTTCCTGTTTACTCCACGTTCGAAGTATCGATCTCATAGCATTCACATGACAAATATACGGTCAATTATAGCGGAAATTTTAGATCCCCAAAAGACTGTATATCAAAATACGATCCACCGTCCACGAACGTCATAAGACTACGTGATATCTTTCGGTTCTTATTGCAAATCCCTTGACACATCACGAACGACCGGCTATAATGAGAATTTTTATTTATCTTTTATCTCATTTTTTATTTTACTTTAAGTTTACAAGAAATGTTTTTTTTCAATTTAAAGATTACATTGTAACAGTTATTTCAATTATATATACAGAAATAATTTATTTGAATTTTTATACGTAGTTGATAAATTTTTGCTTGTCATCATTCGAAGATATTCGGATAATAACGAAGAAAAATGTTGTATTTATGAAAGTAATCCAGTAAACACCGACTAATAATAACATTACATTAATATTATAATTTCCCATTCAATAATATAACTATTACACAACGCACGCGTTGCACATTGCATTTACATTGTTGAGTGAAAAATTATAATATAATATTGATATAATGTTGCTGGTAGTTATTAGTATTTTTTTACCGGATACGTATTCTAGTCTAACACAAAATAAACTATTTTGAATAAGTATCATATGAAAAAGTTTAAGTAATATAGTATTATGTAAGATTTGTTACGCAATTATGCAATTCTTAGGAAAAATAGATGTGTATTTATATTATATTAATTCTAATTTTATTTAAATTCTAATTTTTTCATATTTAAATTACAATCGGCTAATTTAGATATACTATCGAACTTTATTTGATTCAATGTGTCGCAGTAGTCTACTGTAATCATATCACCGATTCTATAAATATCCGACAAAAGTTTTCTCTCTCTCTCTTTCTCTCTCTCTCGGTCTCTCTCTTATTACGAGTCAAGCGACAGTGAGTATTATAGAGACGAGAGAAAAAATATTCAACGGAAAAAACGGAGAGACTTAATAAAGGACAATTCTATTTTAGTATTACTTTCTTTTTCTCGAAATCGCGCAGTTCTTAATTCATACATTTGGCATTATTACGATATATTTAACAAATGCATTTCGTTAAAAAATAATTAATATAATCGCTCTTTACATATATTACATAAAACAAACATAATTAATACCCGTTTTTACTAACGTCAATTAAATCTTAATTTGGATTTGAATTATATTTAGATAATGATTAAATTTGCTAGTAAATATCAACTAACAGCAACATTACATCAATATTATAATTTTCTATCCAACGGTGTAACTGTTATATAACACATGTGATGTTATGTTACTGATAATTGGATCTGCTGGATTAGATTAATCAATATTGATAGAAATATACATAAATCGCACATACTTTAGTTCGAAACTCGCCAGAATTGTTATGATTCTCTACATTATTGAACGACATCATACGAGACTATTAACCTTTTATTCGTAATATGGAAAATTATTAATTAAACTGAAATTTAGTTTGTTAAAGTCATATCATTTTAAACCCAGTTACATCAATCGATATCAATTGACATCACTATTGATTAATCGCTTAATCGATCAATCGATATCGAGAGTTAAATCGATTAGCACTATCGATAACGGTAACCGCCATCTTACTTTAAAAAACGGTACAGGAAACCGGTAGGTCGTCGGAGCTGTTTATAACACAAAATAGAATAGAATAAAGGCAATTTCCGCTATAGCGAATCGTGCCTTGGCAACTTTTCAATAAACCTGCTTGCCGAGAAAACGCACGGAAAACGGCAACAATTTTCCGATCAAGAGTACGGCGTTATTTTGAGTATGTTGAAATATTCTCTCTCTCTCTCTCTCTTTCTCTTCTCTTTCCCTCTTTCCCTCTTTCTCTCTGTAGCTCTCTGTGAACGTCGTGCAATAAGCATGAATATTAGGCTCGTAATTTCAGAACGCCCTTTCGCCTCTCGTCTCTTTTCATACTTCCTGAGAAGAGAGCTTTCGTGGAACGGTCTGTTTCATCGCCACCGTCAGTGATATGCGTGTCCACGGTCGAAAGGAAAAAAAAGAAAAGTGACGAAGACCCGGCTACGTGTATGCTGTATGTGGGTGCGCTATGGGGGCGAGAGGAGAACGCAAGGGGGTGGGACGCTTGCGCCGGTTGAAACGCACCCTATATAAGGAGGCAACACGTTCCGAAGCGATACTCACATTTGGAAGGCTGCCTCGCGAGGGACAGGTTGATCTGCCGGAAAGATGGGGTTCGCCAGGAACTACCTCGTAAGCCTGATCCTCTACGTTTCTATCGTTAACGAGATTCGTCAACCAGCGGTAAGTCCTTATTCACTCCGACTTGTCGACTTGTATCCTCTCGATTTATAATCGTTATTAGCTACTAACCTTGAAGTGTATATTTATTAGCTATAGTTAATACGTGTCGGATGATATTATAACAAATTTTATTGCAACTGCACAAACCCACTTTACATATAGACTGTGACATTCATCAAATAAGTTCAATAAATAATTACACGATAATTGAATAATGATAGAACAATTCGCCGAAACAAATAAATGACTAACAAACGTTAATAAAACGTTATGTTAATAGAATATTAAATCGAGAGGAGAAACTTTTAAATTATTCTTATATAACGAAGGATATTTAAGATTGAAAGTGGAACTTGCAATAGAAAATGACCTGAGTTCACTTTTTGTCATTTTTTGTGTCGATTACGTATACTTCGATTTAGTTGGCTTCTATTAGAAAGAATTTGCCTATACTCTAACAGCACGGGGACGTTCTGAGGACGTTCTGAGTAGATCGCAATGCGTATATTGCGATCATCTCAGAATGTTCTCATATGTACTGCGATCGAATGAGTACGTTCTGAGTAAATACGCGCGCGATACAAATGCATACGTATTATTTCAGTCAAACCTGAGAATGTACGCACGCGATAGAAAAGCGTACCATTTCCGTATCCCTGAGTGAAATCTGAGAGAACATTCGCACGTGAAAGAAAATCGAATGATACTATAAGTGATGTTCTAGCGTTCAACTTAGTACGTCACAGATGATCACAGTACAATAAGTACGAAAATGGGATGATACGCAGTACATCGCGTGTTAGGGTAGATTATCGTGTTTCTTACCACTTTAGTCTTTTAGCAGTTTCCGTCGAAATCTTTTGTCCTCTTTCGTTAGATGCACGTTTTGATCAAACTTTATGATGAAACAATATATATATTTTGAGCGAGTAACGTGTGTTTACAACGTGGTTGCGCTCGGAGGAATGTTTAACGGGCATCTCGAATATGCGCTTACGAAGTCACAATCTCACATCGCTTTATCGCAGTTTGCGAGCAAATTGAGAAATTTTGGTACTACTAATTGTAATCTTGATAATCCTCGTCGGGTATTCAGGTGCAGAGAGAAACGGAAATTTAAGAAACAAAGACTCGAGATATCTCAAAGTGTGTGTGGTCTTTTTTTTTAGAGAAAAATAAGAGATTGTTTGATTGGCTTCCCGGTTGATGCCGCGTTTTTTATGAATTTTTTTCGACGTTTTGAGAATTTGTTTCGACATTTCAGTTTACTTTTCCAGGAGACTCCTTCAGTAAAGAAACGATCTTAAACTGAGACAATTTCAGGTCGACTCTCTGTTGAAGATATCTCTTGAAGAAGTAAACTGTAATTTTCACGAAACGTCGAAAATAAATTTACAAAAAACGCAATCCGGAAGCCGGATCAAGAATTTCACCACATCGCGGAAGTCTAAAATATCAAAAAAGAGAACGTCGCGCGACAACCTACATATCTTATATATTCTCACCCTGGGAAATTTACAGAATCCATATTCTTTACGCAAGCACAGACAGCAGATTCCCTCGAGCCTTCGCTATTCGCACGTTTCAAGATTATTTGATATCGATGCGCGTCGCGTGTAATTTTTAAACACCGCCAGCCGCATTGTTACGCTCGTCAGCCTTCGCGGACAGTACAGAGTTTTTTCGAAGCTTTACGTGGCGCAAAACAGACACATGCATCATCCGCACAGCGGATGCTATTTGAAGGGAAAACGCGCGAGAGCGTATACGCCCACTTCTCTTTGTGCATTCGAAATATCGGCGATCGCGCGCCGAATTTCAGATAATGCCGAATTCCTGACAGTACCTGAATCGCTCGCATTTAGACAATTCCGTTCATGCTTGAGCGTAAAAAATTCAAGGATTCGCTCTCAGGACACCGGTTCGTTCTGCAGCCGACGCTTTTAAAGAGCTTTCGCAAGCCTGACATAAAGGGAATCGGTTGATCGAACGGATTATAGCTTCAAGCACACCAGAGGCACAACCTGGTATATATAATATAATTCCACGGATAATTAAAATCCACCGAAAAATTAACAAATCCATCGATTGCGGCTTAAGCGAATCCCAGGCATTCCCGCGATCCTCCCGTAATTTTAAAGCACCAAAGCCATTTCGAAAACACAAGCTGCGCTTAACACGGAGCTTTTCTTTTTAAAATATTTTTTTTAAATATACTGCGCGTTTATTCGCTGCAAATGCTCCGTTTCAGGCGTAAAATTGTTCTTGTACGTGTACTTTTTATTACACTTCCGCGAGCGCTAATGTATATATAATAAAACAACTTCGTAAAAAAAAAAAAAAAAAAACAAAAAA